CAATAGCACATAATTGTGCAAATATGAGCTTGTGTTTATTGCCCATGGAGTGATAGATATATATTTTTCTTGATTCTAGGCTTGTGATCATTGCTTGTGACGTCAAAGTATACACTGTTGGTTCTGAGCACATGTCCTATCCATAAAGATCATTGTAAAACACTTTGCTGTGTGCGACCACTTTTGGTTCTCCTTTTTATTTGAGTTTTGAGTACAACTATATGCACACTGGTGATATAAGTGTAGTTTTACATAAGCAGTCTTTTTCTAATTTTCTGATGGTGTCACCAAATTTGTAATACCAATATTATTTATAGATCATCTATCCGTAAAAAAAGTATCTCATGTACCGACTTTATGGAGATTGATTCTAATATGTTCTGGGGGCTCTTGTCGTAAGGGTAACATTTTTTTTAAAACAAATTGCTGACAATACCGATTTAAGCTTGCGCGTTGTTGCCTTTGGTGTTTGCTGCTTGGTTGTCACCTCCCATAGCCATGCAAGGAGAGAAAATAAAGAGGCATGTAAGGAGTTGTCAGAACTTCCTGCAGCCTGTTCGTTTGCTCGTAAACGATCGTAAATTTCCAGCCGGGAACAGTGTTTTTCTCTCACACCAAACCAGCCAGCAGTAAATAATCCACGATACGATACGGCCTCCCGAACAGGCTGCTGGTCAGTTACCTTTCACTCTAATCTTCTATATCTAAATAGGAGATTCTTTATATCTAAATAGGAGATCCCTACTACTGTATTTCTCTAGCTCCTCATAATGCCACCTCATCAAAATATGTTTCATATCCCTTGCAGTCATCCCATGATGACACAACCTCCAATATTCCACTATGTGCACACCACTAGATGCATAGGAGACTGCTAGAAAGTGGAGGAATCGGTTCCATGCAGCTTTCGAATTCATCTCCACCAAGGAAGCATTCAATTTTGATACAGTGTGTGTGAGTGGGCATACAAAGGATCATCGTGCTACTCTACAATCTTCCCCATCATGTCATCCATATATATGGATGACGATGATCCTGGAAGCCTGACGCAGCCAGCGACCATGACCTGCGACATGAATTGTCGTCCAGAGATAAACAGAAATTGCGAACATGCAATGGTGCCGCCGCGCACCAATGGTGCTGCAGAGACGCAATCCGTACCACTCGTGCCTCACCCACCGTGCACAACTGCAAAGTGTAGCCAAGCACATCATCATCGATGTTGTGGTACAACTCTGATCAAGATCAGCTTGCAGCTGAGCGAGCCGCTGAGCACGGAGCACGATCAGGTAGGCGGATTTCTTAATTGTCAAGCACGAGCTTAATATTTTTCATCACAGCTTCTGTACCATTTGTTTAATTTGCTAAGCAATTTAGAAATCTTGGTTCAATTATTGTCTGCACTGTTCACTTCCCGTGTCTCCATTTCATTCCGTCATCTGTCACTATGTGTGAGCATATATAGGAAGGATCATTGTTTGGCCTTCTTTTGTGGATCTATGGCTGTATTCTCCACCATGAATTGTGATGTCCACCAAAGAAGTATGGACTCAAATTTGTTTATTTGCATTTTCAGTTGAATGTTATTTGCTGGCTTTACATCACGTAAATGGTTTCAACAATCTTTTAAGTTTCAAATTTTAATTAGTACAGATCAAATTGAAGTTTTGCTTGCCCGAGCCAGTTGATTTCATTATTGGTACCCGAGGATTTGTAGCTTGATGTATCTTACTTAAAATGATTCTCTCCTGTTTAGGATTACAGAACAATCTCCTTTGTAATATTACAAAATACCCGTGGCAAGCATTATCTAGTTAAATTAGTTAGTGAGCCCTAAACTTGATTAAACATTTCAACTTGCCAAGAGTGTGTATCATGTTAAAGGCATATTTTGGAGTATATTCACACTAACATGTGGTCTTAGCACATATCTTGTGTTTTTACATATTGCTTATAAAATGTACATTTGTTTTTCTCCTGTGCAAACTTTTTGAATTGGCTCCAATACTGGGTTCCATGGTCCAGCTAGCATCATGTGTTTTTCCAGGTCCCTATATGCATATCGTTATCTTGGTTCTTGATATATACTGTTGGCCTGCAACAGAACAATTGTGCCTCTCTCTCTCTCTCTCTCTCTTGCGGGGTAAAGAGAGCTTTATTAACTTGGCGACCAGTTACAATCAGAGTTGAGAAGACTCAAGACGCACGCAGGCGCTTGCCCCCACGACGTTGCAGTATGAACATTTCGCCTAGCTAATTGACCTAGCTCATGCGCTATATTGTTGCAATCTCTCTTTACCTTGTTGATCTTCCAATCAACTAGCAGCTGCAGATACTCTTTAGCTTCCAGCACCGTAACTCTGAACTCAGACATATCAGCAGCGTTGGATGTCATCGCCGCTACAATCCGAGCGCTACCTTTTCTAATGTGTATGCAAAACTGGCACCATAGGATACTACATGTATTTGTATACAACGACATGTCATGTTTGCTACTATATAAGTTGCTCAGCTGTGAGGTTTGGTGGTTTACCTATTTCAGACCGATTACATTGCATCTAGACACATCAGCCTTTGTAAGTGCACTTGCTAATAATCAGTGTTGCCTGCTAGCCTTGTACTATGATAACTGACACTTCTTCTATAAGGTTAAGGCAGTAAAAAAACAACAGCCTTATTCTTTCTTGCAATGTTTCTTTCTAGACTACATGTACCAAATGCGTGGTGCATGGCATCAGGGAAAAAAAATAAATCTTCCTTGCAATATTTCTTTCTCTACTGTATGTACCAAGCGCATGATGCAAACTGTAGAATGGGATCAAAAGGCTGGACACACAAAATGCGAGCTTGCTGCTCAAACTGATACAGCGGCTGCATCACTCTGAGTGGTCTGCATGGGCAACCTGGGCAAAAACACAGACACAGCTACATAGCCTGCAGGGGGATTTGGCCGGCGTGCACTGGGATGTCCTTCGAGAGCTCCTGCCAGCATACCGCAAGATTACCAGGGTTGATGTTGGGGATGGACGCAGCACGGCATTTTGGGGATGATGTCTGGTTAGGAGATTGTCCACTAGCAGAGAGCCTCCCGGTCTTACACAGACATTGTGTGGAGCAAGGAGCCTCAACCCGGGAGCTGCTGTCAAGATCACTGCTCTCACAGTTACAACGGCGGCTAAGTCGGCAGGCGATAGAAGAACTACAAAAGCTAGAGTCCATGTTACAGGAGGTCTCCCTCAACAACAGCAGTGACAAAAGATCATGCTTCTTTGCTGATAACAACCAGCGGCTGCTCTCAGGTATGATTTACAGAGCCTCTATGAGAAACAGCAGCACCTGCCCAGCCTACCAGTTTGTCTGGAAGAACATAGCCACTCCCTGGGTGAAGTTCTTTGGATGGTTGCTAACGAAGAATAGAATCAACTGCAAGAGCAATCTGCTGCACAAGAAGGTACTTGACGAGGATACCTGTGACATTTGTGGCCATGGGCTTGAGAATGCAGCCCACATAATTTCAGGTTGCCCTTTTGCCCAAGCTTTCTGGAGACACATAGGCTGGCAGGCTGAGGTAATAGCTGAAGTTCGGTGCCTGTGGGAGTCAACTGCACTGGTAGAAATGCCTAGGATGGCTCACTCCTCGCTGCTCCTCCTCTTATGCTGGGAACTATGGAAACATAGGCACGATGTTGTGTTTAGAGGCATGCACCCAGATCACCAGCGCCTGATCACTGCTTGCCGAGAATCAGCGCGACAATGGAGATGCCGCCTGCCATCCTCTTTTTGGTGTAATCTTTTGCCTATTTGAGTCTACCTCTCTCCATTTGTAACTCTGAAAACTTTGTTTGGGCCATGTGCCCCGCCACCCACCGGCCAGGTGGGGGTCTCTTAACCAACCCCCCCCCCCCCACCCCGGTCGTTGACCTAAAAAAAACGTAGAAAAACAGTAAATTTAAAAAATTTCTCTTTCCAGGTCCCTATATTGATGCTAAGGTAACTGAATCATTTAATCTTTTAATGAATGATCTGCTCCCTTGTTCATGTCCTTCACTTCTAAGAAAAAAAGTGTCCATGATTTTCTGCTCTCAGGAAACTATTTATAAAAGTAAATGATATTTTATCTAATTCTATAGAACACACATGGCTACTGTGATATTTAGAGAATAAATTTTCAAACTACATTGCAATGTTTCCTTCCTATCAGTTCCCTTTTTCAAAAAGAGGTATGTATCATTGACGATCTTTCAGTTTGAAAAAATTTTGTACGCCATGCATATTGTTTTGCTGTGTCAGTTACAAATATGTGTACCAGAAGTTTGATTAGTATCCTAATGATTCAGTGACTATATTCAGTTTTTGTGGGTCAGCTGTTTATTTCCTTCTTTGATTGATTTATTTTTTATCTGTTGTTCATTTTGCTTGTTTGATTAGATATACTCATATCAATATGTACCACTATCAAAGGATGAGGAGTGATAGGAGGAGGGCAAGCTACTGTTGCTGCAGCAGGATGGTGATGTCCTACTCGATCCATCACACAGCATACTTTTGTTTTCGTACACATCCATATTGGGTCTGGTTTGTTTGGATCTTTGAATTTGTCATTGCTTTGCAGGAACAGATAGTCAAGTGTGCCAAATTCTGTTTTTCCCCATCCCGTACACCATGGAGAAACGTCAGCAGTAACCTTTCCGATCAAGAGGTGAGAAAGCAACACGCACACTTGATCGGAAAGCTTTGTGAATAGTCGACCAGCAGTTCCTTTTCCTGTTCAGACTCAGTTCTTTGTCACAGCGCGTTATACGTGATTTCACAATAGAGTATGTTCATGTAGCACAAAGCAGAGTCCATTTTATTGCAGACGCTGGTCTAGTGACCAGGCACAGAACACCACAGGACAGGCAGAAACAAGAGCAGATCAGACGGCCAAGTCCTGAATACAACACAGAAATACTTCATTCTCCAGCGAAATGAATGGATATTAATGGTGCCCCGCTAGCTCCTCACGCCGGCGAGGGCTTCACGTTCTTGGCCCAGATGACGTGGCCGTACGGCATCAGGTGGCAGACGGGCGCGCCGCCGGGCTTGGTGCCGAGGACCTTGAACGAGACGTGCTCCGGGTTCCACCGGGACGTGTCGGTGTGGCAGACAAAGGCCACGGTGACCGCGCCGCCGCCGCGGGCGCCCTCCATCTCCACCAGGTACGCCCTGGCGGGCCCCGTGCCGTGGCACCGGTACACGGTGTACGGGTACGCCTCGTCGTGGCACGCCACGAAGCTGGCGCCGCCGCGGATGCGCCGCACGGCGCGGACGGTGTACGCCTGCGGCGGCAGCCCCGCGCGGGGCAGCGCGGAGGTGACCGCACGGACGTCGCGCGTGCCCAGCGCCGCCACGGCGCGCTCCACCATGGCCTCCAGCGACGTGGCGCAGAACCTGGCCTCCTCGGCCTCCCCGGCGACTGGCGGGGGCCGCTCGCAGGTGCGCAGCGTCTCCGCCATGGCGGCGGCCCTGGACGAGCCCGGCGGGACGCCCAAGAGCGCGAGGACGGCCGGAAGCGCCGCCGTCGTGAACGGGATGGAGTCCGCGACGCCGCGCGGCAGGAGACCCAGCGCGGCTGGCGCCGCGGCCCGGAAGTGGAGCGGCAGGCGCTCTCCCACGCGCACCGCCTCCTCGTGGAAGAACACCGCCGCCGTCGGGGACGTCGGCGTCGGCGTGGCCGCCCCACCGCCTCGCGTCGTCGCAATGGGCGCGTCGTAGCTGAACTCGTAGCCTTCGAACGAATGGTCGTCGTCGTCGTCGTCGTCTCTCGCGCCGCCGCTGGCCGGTACCCCTTGGCTCGCTGGGCGCTTCGTAGGTGATGTAGTCGTAGCTGAACGTTCCATTCACGTGTGCAAGTGCATTGGTCCCTGATCAAACCGTACATTCTCCAAGAGTCCAAGATAGAACCAGCAAAGTGAGAGGAGAACCGACCTGGGCGTAGGAGCTGGAGGACGGCGTCCGGCACGGCGGAGCCTGGCAGGAGTGCGCGCCAGAACACCTCCTCGGCCGTCGTCGATGGCCCCGCATTCGTCAGCCGTCCAGCCTGAACAAGTGAAGCCCAGGGGGAGGGGAGGCAAGGAGAAATTCGTGAATGCGTCTTCCTCTACCTTACGTGCACTGACCAGCGGGTTGTTCGATCGATCATTACCATGAGCAGGGCAGCGGCGAGGAGGACGGCGGAGGCGAAGCGCGCCATGGCTGGGAGGCAGAAGCAAACCACGTCTCCCTGGACTTGTCGTGTGCAAACAAGCTGACCCGGAAGGCGAATACTTATAGATGCGACATGCCGTTGAGCGCCATGGAAATGGAGTGCTCGCAGAAGCCAGAAGCGGTGTCAACCGGCCGCGGGTGACGGCGAAAGGTAACGGAAGAGATACGACACGCCCGGTGTGATGAGCGATGCGGTCGAACACCCGGGGAATATAATCTTCGGTGTGACATCCGCGGTGCTCACCGTATCGCGTCGTCGGCTCAGCTCGTCGCCGGCGTTGTCCGCACACGCCTACCGCATCGGATAGTGGTGACGCTGCTCTCGATCTCCCTCGCGTCACACTTTTCTCGTGGGTATACAAAGTTTCAGTTGGGCCCTCGGTCTATGACTTTGGGCCCAATATCTCCCACAACACAGCAGCCCTCAAGGTCTATGGGCCCCTTGTGGCCCACGGAAACACTACAAGGCCCACCCAAGATGTGACCGTTGCGTGCCTCTCCCAAAAGCGCTCGGCCACCCGACCGTTGGACGCAGCGCCATCCCCGCGGCCTTAAGCCGCGCCGCGCCCAACCCACGGCGGCCGGCAGATCGATCACCGTGCTTCCACTCTCGCCTTTCCATCTGCGCTTCCCCTTCCGGACTCCGATCTCACATCAACTCTGATCTTTCCCTGAGAGATCGCCGCTTCCCCTGTTTCCTCCCCCAGCCCGGTCCCGACAAAGATCCGTTCTTCCTAGATAGACAAAAGGAAAGAAAGAAACCAAGAACCGACGACCTTTGCCATGGCGGAGCCGGCCAAGAACGAGGCCCACGTCGTGGAGATCCCGGTGGCCGTCGACGGCGGCGAAGCCTCCGGAGGCGAGGAGGCCTTTCTTGACAAGTCGACGGCGGCGGCGGCGGGCGAGGGCCACCCGCTCGGGGAGATCGCGGCGAGTGCGGGGCACCTGCTGCTGCTCAAGCTGTGGCAGTGGGAGGAAGACCGCCTGGGCCGCCGCGCTTGCGCGCTGGAATCGCGCATGGACGCGGCGCGCCGGGACGCCTTCTACCTCTGCGCGGCCTTCCTCGCCTTCCACGGCCTCTCCCTCGCGCTCCTCTTCGCCGCGTCCGTGGCCGCGTCCGCCTCCGCCGCCGCCGCTTCCCCTTCACCTTCCGCCGCGTGCAGGAGGTGGTGGGCGCCGTCGTCCCTGTCCCTGGCGGCGTCGCTCGCGCTCGCCGCGGCCGTGCAGCTCCGGGTGTGCGCCTACTGGCGCGCCGCGGCGCGGCTGCGCAGGGACCGCGGCGACGCGCGCGCGCTCGCGCGGGCCGTGCAGGAGCTGCGCTTGAAGGGCGCCGCGTTCGACCTGTCCAAGGAGCCGCAGTACGGGGTGACGAGGGCCAAGTGCGCCAGCGTGGAGGGCGCGGGCGCGTGGGCACCGCTCCGGTGGTGTCGGCAGAACGTCGTCACACTCTGCCTCCTCGCCGTCGCCGCCGCCGCCTTGCCCTCCGGCAAGTTCATCCTCTGCACCTAGGATGGATGGAGGTTATATAGCGTTGTGTGAGTTCTGAATCAACTCAATTTCTCGTTGTTTTTCCACCTTGCTCTTGGCTTATTTCGGGTCATGTTTTCATCAAACTCTAACGAAATTCCACGATGTTTCCCACCTTGCTGTGGTTTCTTGCAATTGGTAGTACTACACATTTGGAATTCAAACGTAAATGATCGAAATGTTGTTGTTGACGCAGGTTTATTCTTGCTTGCTTGCAGGGCGCCAGCTTCTTTAGCTGATCTGCAGAACCAAAAATGGGGGACTGTTCGCCGCGCAGGGAACAGAGACACTACTTGTGCTCCCTTGGCAAGACCCTCTGAAATGGCAGAAATGCGCATTCTTTATTGTAATTTTTACGGTAGCTGGAGCTTCAATTGATATTCTGTAATGGAAACGCTTTAGGCTTCTTGTTTGAGCCTCTGTAGCATGAGAAATTTATGCAATTTCAGAAAGACAAGTTTTGCTTAGCTCTTCAGCAACTTGTATACATAGTCGAAGTGATCCGTGCGCAATTTCTCTCTTATTCAGGTTTCTAACAATTTGGACAATTAACTAAAAACCAGCTCAAGATCATTTTGTTAAACGACCGTGTGCAGGTGTCATCTTTCTGTGAACCCTGAGCTGATGACTAACATGCCCCAGTGACTTGAACTTCGTGTGGTTATGATCTTTTCTTAGATGCAGAAGTTTACTGTATATGCTATGTCCATGTTTTGGCTGCCTGTGTCAGTCCTTAACAAGATGGACTCTGTCAGGAAAAGATTTTTCTGGCAAGGGGGGAATTTAAAAAGGAAATACGATTTAGTTAAGTGGGCCAGAATTACAAAACCAAAGAATAAAGGTGGTCTAGGGGTTAAGGATCTGAGGAGAATGAATATCAGCTTACTTTGTAAGCAACTTATCAGGTGCAAACCAACCAACCTGTGCAAACTTGAAAACTACCAATCATTATCACTAGATACTGATCCAATGGATGGGGTGAGAGGTGAGATTTTTTTGTGCTTAAGCCCCCCACCCGCCGGTCTTTTTTTTTTTTTTGCGCTTAAGCCCCCTCACCCCATCCATTAGATCAACATCTAGTGGTCCTGATTAGTAGTTTCCAAGTTTGCACAGGTTGGTTGGTTTGCACCTGACTTTGTAAGTGGTGGTGGAAAGCTGAAAATGGAGAGGGAATCTGGCAAGATATCATCAGGAAAAAGTATCTGAAAAAAGGGGGTCATTGCTCACTTAAAGAAAAGCCCCAGAAACTCTTCTGTTTGGAATGACTTACTGAAAGTAAGACCTGTATACTTGAAAGGTAGAACTATGATAGTGGGCAATGGTAAATCCACTAGCTTCTGGCATGATAAATGGTTTGGCCTTGTCTCCTTAGCAGACAAGTTTCCTGGGCTTTTTCAAATCAGTGAAGATCAGGATTGTACTGTTGAATATATGAAGCTGAACAATTGGCACCTTTCTTTTAGGAGGTGGTTGCATGAAGACCTGCAATGCCAGCTTAGAAGGCTACATGATATTGTTTACCGGTATGGTACTAATAGTGATAAAGATCATGCTAAATGGGATTGGAACAAAAATGGTTTGTTTTTTTGTGAAATCAACATACAAGTATCTGTGTAGACATGAATATGGCCCCAACTTTAAACATGTCTGGAAAGCTAAGATTCCTTTAAAAATCAAGATTTTCATGTGGCTTGTTTCTCAGGATGCTATTCTTTCTAAGAATAATTTGATCAAACGTAAGTGGAAGGGTTCCCCCTCATGCACCTTCTGCACTGATAATGAAAATGGACAACATTTGTTTTTTGAATGCCCAACGGCTAAATATGTCTGGAGTTTGCTTGCATATTCTCTGGGTGCTGATTGTAGACCAAATAGCTTGAACCAATATTTGGATCCAAAGGATTCTTCCACAAGCCCCCAATTTTCATTCTGTGGGGTTGGTTGCTGTTTGCTGGGCCATCTGGCGGACCAGAAACACAGTGTGCTTTGACAACAAGAGAATTAAATCTCCTACTGAGATTATTTGTATGATTTGCTCTTTTCTTACATACTGGGCAGGCATGTTAAAGGATGGCCTCAAGGAGCAAGTGATCCAGGGAGCTGAGGTGGTGAAGACGGCGGCCCTCTTCTTCCATAAGCAGGAGTTGCAGACGCGTTCTCAGGAGGATCTTCAGATGGTTCCGTTCGTTGGTTAAGCTCTGGGGATGTTTCGAGCTGTTGGTGACCATCTGGTGCTGTGGCCGGGTGCCTTGTATGGAACGCTTTTTATCTGTGTTTTGGTGTCTATCTGTGGGTAGATGCTATGTCTGTAGTGGCTGCGCACTCTTGCATTCGTTCCCTTTGTGATTGTGTGCTTGAGTAATGGTAGTTTCGTTTACATTTGGTCTATGGTTCTGAACTGATACTTTCTGTAATTTCGTTGCCATGGTAATGAAATTCGGTTTACCGGTGTGGAAACGATGCAGAAGTTTAATGTCATCAGCGCATTTTTGTCATCGTTCAGATTCCAGTGTATTCAGGTATACGATTAGTTGGTGCAAAACAGCATTCCAGCAGCATAATTCATACAGTAAAAGATGGAGCAGCAACACCCAAATGTTCTGATATCTAGTTTACCTGTAACATCAATTTTGATTCCAATGTTCTTTTAATTGTTCGGAGTTCCCGGCTGCTCAAAGCAATCAATTAGATTTTAGATATGAAAGTGAGAGGTGCAATGTTAACTGTCCAATGCAAGTGCCAATCATGATTACTCCATAAAGCAGCAACTAAGAGAATTGCGTGTGTTTGCAGCCATTACTTAGCTAAAGATGCTCTCTCTCTCTCTCTCTCTCTCTCTCTCTCTCTCTCTCTCTCTCAAGAGAAGTTAAGCCAGCTTCAGAAAAAAAATGCTCCATATTTCAGCACATCAAGTCCAGTACAGCAGTACATACATACAGTAATATATCGTGAGTCGTGACAAAGTACATCATGGATACGTAGAGTTTGGAGTATACTCTATTGAAAAAAAAATGTCCTAAGTAAGAAGCGGCTACTAGGCAAACTGTTAACCAAATAAATCATCAGGGGCCACTAGTTAACTTGAAGAAACACATTTCATCCAAATGCCCTCCAAGAAACAGAGCTACCAACTTGAAGAAAATAAACATGAACATCGCCACCTACAAAGCAGCAGAAAATGTAATTCACACAAAAAAAAGCAGCAGAAAATGTATGGAAGTTTGCACAGCAAACGAAAATTCTGGATCCTTGCATATCTGCCATTGCTACGAGCACACTGCAAGGTCCTAGTAACTTCCCATGGTGTAGCTATCACAAAGTGATTGACTGATTGCTTGTATATCCTACAAACAACAGTGGCCTGAAACTATTCCAAGGAGAAACAGGGTATACAAATACAAGTTCTGGAAATTTGGCAAAATACACTGGCCTGAATCTATTCCAAGAATCACTGAATCAGGAAACACATTCATACTCTTGAAATTTAGCAAACATAAGGTCCCTCAAATTATTCCAAAGAGGAACATGATTACACAGCAGGAGAAAAAAACAAAACAAAATGATTGAATAATACAGAGAAAATATGTGTGCCACCGACAAGCTTGAGATTACATAAAGCCCCCATTGCGTTACAATTGGAAATAATTGCTTTTCTATCCTACTACAAAAATATAAAGAACAGCATGACATTACACAAATACTACTATAGCTTCAGGACAAAGTAACAAGAACACGGCAGTTGGGAGTTGGACAAGGTAAGAGTACTAGCACAATGATTAATAATTACGACAGGCAACCTTATCTGTTAAACATGGCATGAACCATCACCATCACGCAACCTCCCTCTTAATTACGAGCATCTCTCTCAAATCAGAAATGAAATGGAATCACTTGTTACTCAAAAGGGGGGCACATCAGATGATCATCATCACGCCATCTTAAAGTTATTGGTGGCAACGACAGAACAAGGGTAAACAGCAGGGCACTCTCAGTAATTAATTTACTAAATAAAAACCGCAGAGGCTCCATGGAAGCGAAGCCATGATAAGGAGGCAAATTCGTTACTGCGGCTGGACGTAGTAGTAGCCCATGGGGTCGGCGGCGGGCAGGCCGGCGGCGGGGTGCGGGATCCTGGCTGCTCCCATGGCGGCGGCGGAGTCGGCGTCCTTGGCCTCGTCCCGCGGCACGATGTCGACGAGGAAGTCGAAGACCTCGGTGCGCGCGACGGCGGCGGCGATGTCGGACTTCTGCAGCGTGCGGCGCTTGTTCTCCTCGGCGTGCGCCCAGCCGCGGTGGGTGAGCTCGAGGATGAACATCTCGCAGGCGCGGGAGAAGACGACGGGCGCCTCGGCGGCGATCATGCGGACGTCCTCGTCGGCCTTCATGATCTTCTTGATGCGGGCCAGCGGCAGGTTGTGGTTCTTGAAGTCCGTGGTGGCCTCGATCTCGCGGTACTGCTCCGCCCAGAACAGCTGCAGCTGCTGCGCCGCCGCGGCGCCCTGCTGCGAGGACGGGGGAGCCGGCGGCGGCGGGGGAGGAGGGTACAGCGCGGCCGCCGGCGCGTGCGCGTACGGCCCGGCGGGGTACGCGGCGCCGGGCGGCGGAGGGTACGCGACGGGCGCGCCCATGACCGGGGGCGGGGGAGGGGTGGTGGATTTGGGCTCCATTGCTAGGGTGTTCCCGAGAGTCCGAGACAGGGAAGGGGAGAGTGAGACAGGGACGGGATTGGGTTGGGGGAGGAGGCTTTGGCTGAACACTGAACAGGGGAGAAAGGAAAGGAGACCTTTGCGCCGTTAGAAGTGGCATGTTAGTTAGAGCTGGGAGTTGACCGAGAACGTTAACATGAGTTAGTTCTAATTTTCTGTTTGGTCAATAAAATGATAGTTAAGTGAGAATTCATATATACCGTGGAGATATTTAAGGGAGAAATTATAGGCCAAGTTAGGATTGACGGTGCATATGCATTTATATTTTTTTTAAAAGCACATATAGAGATTGGATTTTATATTCTTTATCTATACGGCGTGGCTAGCCTTGGGCCTCGACGCTAGCCCCAGTTCGGACGCAGCTTCGACGACTGTACCCGTGTTGCACGGACGCCCCTGTGCTCGCATCAGAACCCGCGCCAGCGACCGCGTCCGACCACTCGCGACCCACGCCTCGATCCCATCTCGGCTGCGCCCCAGCGTCAAGCCCGCCGCGCTCATTCCCCCGCCACGCCGCTCTCCTCCCCTCACCGCGGCGCCATCCACAGCCGCGCTCTGTCTCAGTCGCGCCCCTTCCTCGTCCTAACATCTTATCTTCTCTGCAACATCCGTCCGACCGTTGCAACATATGCAATATACTCTTGAAACATACCTGCTTTGCAACATCCAGATAAAATATTTGCAACATGCTTCTGAAACAGCTGAAATATTTAGAATATGCATTTGCAACATTCGTCTGAAACAACTAAAACTTGTGGAACATACACTTGAAATATACATGTGTAGCAATTGCAACATATGCAACACCAGATCATTTTTGCAACATCCAGATGAAACACATGTAACATACAGATGAAACACATGAAACATATATCTAAAACGCGTGAAACATTCGGTTGCAAAAGGCTCATCGATGTGGAGTTCGATGCCACGGAGTGACGCGGAGGTCGCCGGTGCGAAGCTCATCGGTAGCAAGGGCTCTGCAGTGGCCACATCAGGCGGATGGGTGCGTGACCGCGACGGGCGGCACTAGACTGGGCGGGAGGCGTGATTCCGAGCGCGAGGCGCAGTGGAGGCGGCGAATCCGCGTCGGCGTGGCGCGCGACAAGTGGGGTGGGCGACGGGAGGGAACAAGCGTCGCAGGCGAGGCGCGCGTCGCTAGCAGGAGCGAGCGGTGCGAGGGAGAGCAGCGAGGCTGAGTGGGGCGCGACGTGTTAGTGTTATCTACATGTGCTTAAGAAAGTGTCAGGGAAGTTAGCACGTTAAATTTCTACTGCCTTTATTCTCTTTTACTTTTATAAGGTGTACCTTTTTTTTAGAATTACACAGTACAACGTAGACGCCCACACACGCACGCACACTCACCTCTATGAACACACGTACGCAAACTCTATCCTTATGAGCACCTACGAAGGACTGAGCCGGCAGATCTCGAGATTCACGAAGTCACCACAGGCGCCTCGCTATCGATGGGAATATCATCTACCACTGAAAGTATAGCGCCGGTAAATCCTGGAATAAATCCAGGAAAATGCGAGCACCCGTGCCAAACCGAGTACTTAAACCCGGATGGATAGGTTCTACCACGAGAAACCCAACCAACTGATCTATGATCAGTTTGCTTTTATAAGGTGTACCTTAACATTTCCAAAATTACGTTTTGACTATTTATGTATTTTATAATATAATATTTATACTTATAAGCTTATGAAAATTAGATAGTACATTTAATTACAAATCTAACAATATTGATTTTGCATTATAATAATTAAAATTGTTAACCAAATTATTAGTTAAAAATTTTAAACTTTGAATATTGACGTATGTGTAAAACAAATTACATTTTTATAATTATATTCGTTGTCAAACTTAATCAAGTTCCCTAACGATGTCATGAAATATCACCTATAGGAGCCCTAATCAACTACGATCGTACGATCGAAATCTGGTTTGGCTGAAGCTTTGCAAGTAGAGTCATTCTTCTTCTAACCAAACCATCTTAGCCATCGGCTAGACCAAGTCTCTTTCTCATGATGAGTGAGTTATCACCGGCAGGCATTGTTGGCCTAAACAGTTAATTAGCCCATTTACACACGATACGATTTAAATGTTACATGATAGTACGTCGTTTCTATTTAGAAAACACATGTTTATCCCGTTCAAACGACTATTTTGCCTGATTAAGTGTCCATTTGGCCTAATGGTTAAAAGGAAAGTGATCAACTGTCGTTTAGCATTTAGGATAACACTGGCACCAGAGTGCTTATCTAGTGTTTGCACCTAGTCTGTTGAGTATGTGATTCCCACGTGCTTACATATAGTCAATCCTAGTAGTTACCGACCCCTACCTAGATCTAGTTATCCTCCTCCATCCAGCCCGGTAGAACAACCCCGCTAGCAACCCTCCCTTAGGTTAACCCCATCTTACCATGAATGCCCGTGAGCATTTACTCCCTTTCAACTTCAAGGGTTATAGTCAACTCTAGCTTACAACTACAATGCCTTGCCATGAGATCCTCCTATTGGTCAAGTATTGCTAGGCCACACATTCAAGGCCTGTTTAGCATAGCTTCACCAACAACTTTATGAGATGTTGTGAGCTGTTTTTTTACCAAACACCCTTTTTCAAACACAATTCACAGGGTCCTATAAAAAATAGTCCACGGGGTGAAGCCCTTTTTTTATGCTCTCACAAAAGAATGGAGAGAGGTGAAGCTAAAAAAATAGCTTTTCACAGCTCTCTCCCTCATTTCTCTCTCTCATCCATATATGAAGTTGTTGCGGAAGCTGTTTTGCCAAAATAGCGTAGCTTCGCTGAGAAGCTGCTCATGAAGCCGTTTTCCAAAAAACAGGTTCACTGGTGAAGCCGAGCTGTGCCAAACGAGGACTCAGTTTCTGGTGAGACAGGCCACCTATGAAATGAGCCAAGTATCACTCAAGAGACCTTGAGATGAAGTGTCGTGACATCATCGGAACCCCATAATCCCAAGTGGGAAGAGATGTTACCCTAGGTCAATGACCTAAGTACCCTAGCCAAGTGACCCTAATAGTTGAGCCCAAACTTACACCCACAAACTACACTAGTGTCCTACCGAACTATATGAGAGTGGTCATGTTAGCCCGCTGACCAACCTTTTCCATTGAGTCATTCTAGGTTCGACAAACTATTCGCCAGGTCTACCGGACTATCCGCCAGGTCTACCGGACTATCCCTCCAGAACATCAGTGACTCTAAAATAATGCAAGTCATGAGCTGTCCACTTCTTTCCTACCTTACCTTGGGCCCACATGTCAGCATGAACTAACCTCATCCCATTCAGCTCTGCACTCCTTTCACACCCTACCACAACTCTCTATCATTCTTTCTCTAGGGTGACAAGAAAACGAAAGCAAGGAGAAGAGGATGGAAACCCAAGAATCCCTCTCTGAAATCCCTCTCCACCTTTCTCCCCAATCCACTAGCCAAATCTTAGTGGCATGAAGAACCCCCACTTCTCAAGCATCTCCATTACTTCGAGCAAGTTCATCCATGGTGGATTTCCCTCTCTCATGGGTGTGGGGACTCCATGAGAGGTCAGTATGAGCTCAAGGTGGCTCATGACTCTAAGTCCCCTTGAGTAAGTATTCATCATCTTCATCCTTACCCCTCCACCTAGCCTAATCTTAGTTAGCTCTAAAATCCTCACCATGCATGACACCAGTTTCATCCAATCAAACCCTAGGATGAGTTGTACCCTAGACAAAGACCTATACTTGCAGACCCTCATGTGCATACTATGGCATATCCCCTTTGGTATTCTTGCAATGTCGATCATAATGAGATATGTCACGCCCTCATGGACTATGCCGATCATAGTGAGATCTATCCAAATCATGGACTATCCTGTGTGGCTCTCCGATAGTCACAACACTAACATTACCCTAGATGCCAAATTAAATCCATAGTTTTGCTTCGATGGACCGTCCACATAGAGACTCTAGAGAGCGACCCTTTAAGCTCATGCTTAGCTCGGCCAAACTGTCTGAAGAGACGTGTGAAACGTCCATGATTTAGTCTTTGACAAGATGTTCCATAGTCTTGTTTTCAAGAAAGTAATTTACTTTTTGAGGCAGCGACGGAGCTAGCGGTGGGGCTGGGGGGCTCTAGCCCCCCTACCGATCCTGGGCACGCGGAGCCCCCCTAAGCCCTCCCTTAAAATTTTATGCATATATGTATTAGGTAGAAGGGGCTAAGGTTAAGAGAAGATAAAAAACCCTCTATTCTTTTGTTTGGCTCCTCCTAAATTTTTTTTCTGGCTTCGTCTCTGTTTTGAGGGGTAAAAAATGTACAGTTTTTAAAAGCTATTTAAAACACTCAAGGTGCCTTTAGTTTTCATTTAAATGTAAACATATTTTTGAGCATTTTTGAGAAAAAAAACTAATGACGTTTCTAAATCTTGAGGATTACAACCGACCAAACAATTTGCTTCTGGCAAATTTACAGCAATGGTAATATATGAAATGTCTGAATGAAAGAGACTCGCTAGCAAATAATCAAGGCTATGACCCAGACTAACCAATAGCATCAAGTAGAAATCAAGAACACGGCTTGGTAATTTGTTGCCTCCTTTTGAAGACACAAAGCAGCGGCTCCGTGGTCTCGACGTAGGCGAAGGTCCGAAGGCGGTAGCCCTCCTTGCAGTAGGCCGCCACCGTTCCCTGCTCCTTGATCCGCAGGGACGTCACCTCACCGCTCTGCAACCTCCCCGCCGCGTCGGCGTCGCACACCCTGTGCGCGAACACGTGCTTCCGGCTGTTCTCATACGCGCTGCGGTGAGCACGTAGCCGCCATGCGCGAAGTGCGGGCCCGCGAGTCGTTGCCGCACCACCTCCTGCACCTGCACGTTGTACTGCCGGCTCCACCCCTGCCGGTCGAGAACCCAGACCTCGGTCTTCGCCGGCCCCCGTCTGTCGGCGCAGAC